GCGCTGGCAGGCGCCTTACTGCCTAAGTGTCCAAGGCGAGACGCCTTATAAACAATGTCCGCAGTTATGGACGACTTGGAGATTTTGTACTCGATTATAGAACTTCAACTAATCATTAATGACTTGTTAGTAACATAGAACGAGTTCCATCAATAATCTATAAAACTTACCAACTTACCAATGTCTTGGGACTGCTTCCTAGTGAGAGATGCGAGGGGGTGATACAAGATAGTGTTATGATGTGGCGGTTAGGATAATAACCTAGATGGTTCTTACGCGCCCTCTTACCTTATTCTAAGAGACACAAGTTGTAGTGTTCTTGCCGCTCAAAACCACATACCCTTCTTTGAGAAGGGTGCATACTTAGAACAGATATGATTTAAGTCCTGCGGTGTACATGATGCAGTCACCTTGTTTTTCAAACCAACTTGTTGCAGAGGATTTTATGGATCCACTTGGTGGTTAGTACGTGGACTTCACTGATGTCAACAACGAGTAGATAGGAGGTCCCACGTGGCAGCCTGAGTCCTCGTGGATGAGATCTTGTTTATCTTTCAGCCTCTTACGCAAATGCTATTAAATTTGTCCGTACTCAGACGCTACTTCGTTTCCACTGATGTATGATGAGATGTTAGGTCATCTGATCTATAAATGTAATAAATTTGCTATCTTGCTCCATGTATGAGCTTTTGCTATATTAATATATTGGCAGCAGCGGTAATGTTGTGATGCCGACTTTATTCATACCCCAAAACGTCCGCAATGCGTCTATGTTATGAAGTGTGCGTCGTGGGTAGATTCTTGATACCGTTAAGTGGGTTATCCAAATTACGGGGTTAAGCGACTCGTTGTATTGTATGGGATTTCATCACCCATGTCCTCTAGAACTTGTGTGGGAATCATGATTCCCTTGTCGGATGTGGTTCCTGATGGGGATTGATAACGATTCCAGGCTCTTCGAGAGGAGATGGCAATTGGCAGTGTGGTTGGTTCCAAGCGCCAACCTCGGCTTCCCATATGATTTCCTCTGCTAGATTCATATAGTCTTGGTCACGGGGTCTGGCAGATTTTCAGTCTGAAACTATGGGACTATGCAGAGGGAAATAAACAAAGTTTCACAGGATTTTTGTTCCATTGTTAGGGGAAGATAGTATAATCCTGCGAACAAAACAAGCATGATAATACACAAGTTAAGGTGACTTCTGAAAGACCAAAAGAGGAAATTTTGGTCACAGAAGAAACTATGTCTACAGAGTTGAGTTATTTGATCAGATACTGCTAACTCACCTTTTTATACAGGACCTGCATTTAACATTTTAGTGTCTTCCAGAAATGGATCTCCACTCTTGGAAAAACTTAAAAAACTGGGTAATAGCAGCAAGAGTGTACAGGATTGAACAACCATAGCTGGTCAACCAAACAGGAGATAATGGCTTAAGGCAAGAAAGCCAAATAAGTCTTACATATCTATATCTATATCTATATCTATACCTATACCTAATAATAAAGGACGGAGGCTTTCATACTTCTCCATACGTTATCCTTTTACATCCGTCGATTTTACGTTAATCATAAAGATTGACGGCTGAGATTTGAAAGGAGGTAGGTTTTTTGTTTTTCTTCCGTCACCCCTTAATAATAGGTAAACCTTACATGTGCTTCCGCACAAAAAATTAATTCGCACGGCTGTGATTTGAACTCAGGACCACCCTGTTGACAACGCGCACGATAACCAGTCCACCGGGTAGCACTTTTATTCTTCAATAGAGATAAAATCTAGATGGACGTACTGGATGGATGGAGACTATGGGCCGGCCCATCACCAGGGTATCAAGGAGCCATCTTTCGATTTATCCCACCTCACCCTCTTAAATAGAATTCTTTCGATTTATATATGTTTTAATTTCAATGGTATCAAGGAGCCATCTTAGGAATTACTCCCTCCGTCCCAAAATGTAAGACGTTTTTTGACACTATTTTAGTGTCAAAAAACATCTTGTATTTTGGGACGGAGGGAGTAATAAGCAACAAAGGAAGGAAAGGATTGATACAAAGAAATAAGGAAGACGTGCGAGAAATAAGGAAAGGAATAAGGAAAGAAATGAGTGCTGCGTGGATTCGTTGCGTCCTATGCTGGTGGGGCTGGAAATAAGGAAAGGAATAATGAGTAAGGAAAGGAAAGTGGTGGGGCTGGACCTGGAGAAGGAACGCTCATTAATAAAGAAGGGACAAACCTTTCATAGTTCTCTTCGGTTTTCCGTTGTTCCAGTTAATCAGGAGGAAGCGTCTTTGTACGTACTTGTACTAAGTCGATTTTCCATTGTTCCTGTTAATCAGGAGGAAGCGTTTTGGTACGTAAAAGGTCTCCACACAAACAGGAAAAAGCAGTTGATCAAGGACACGAGATGGGACCGAGTTGACATCCATCGAGATCAAACACGAGAGGAGGCGGCGCCCAGAGGTCAGGGACGAGGAGGCGCCCAGCTCGTCAGCCAGATGGAGGAAATATTTGGGACGGCCTGTTCCCGTGCACGAGGAAGAAGATAGGAGGTGGGTCTTGGTCACGGAATCGCCACGGACACGGAGGGCCTCAGGTGAAGACGCAGCGCAGTGGGGAGAGCGGTGGTGCACAGACGACAGCGAGCAGCGGCGGCAAGCCACGGACGGTTGCTCCAGGCCATCGAGGCGATGAGCCGGCGGAGACGACCACAACCCTCCTTGGTGGCTCTTTCTTTGGAGTTGTAGACGAGATTATGGATTTTTATAAAGGGGCTGTAGCGTAGTTGGCCGCCTAAGCCTAGGTCTGGACCGACAACTGGACGCCGGCTCTTCTAAGGAGTGGTTTCTGATCTGGCGGACCTTCTCTTTGGGGAAGGAGATCCCAAGCCGAAAGAGTGTGGGGCATGGCCGTAGCCGATGGCCCATGACAGCATGGTGCTCACAAGTAGTTTCCTGCAAGGTGCTTCTGCTGCTCATGCATGACTTCAACGTCCGTGGATTTTGGGCTGCACAATTAAGATCAAAAGTCTGATTCCTGTTCGTTCCATACGACTAGCAATCCTCCTCCCCTCAGCTACACAACAAAAAAATCTCCAAACTCCAATCACTAACTTCGATCTAAGTGGCGGCGCGTTTGTTCTGGATGTAAATCACGCCTCCCAGATCCTACCCTAATTTATTCACACATGTGCTGCTGTTGGTCAGCACTGCATGATGTATTGTAGTGCGGGACTACTGGCCATGTAGTATGCATGTAGCCGCGGACTCGCGGTCGCCGTAGTAGCAGTGGTAGATGAGACCTGCTAGCTTTGGCACATAATCAATGACACTGTCGACGATAGCGATGCCAGCAAATCAGGATATTTATAGTTCTATACCTACATGTTGAGGTATGTGCACCATGGGCAACACGAGCACCACGCTCACGGTACCACCATCGCTCTGTTCTGAATCAGAGGCATTGTGCGACCCAATGTCCAACTTTGAATGTTGTCAAGCACCATCATGTTCTTGCTATGCAGACCAGCACCGTTGAGGGCTTAGCCAAGTTGATTTTTAGCCATCTAACAACAAAGGGCTAGATATTGTCATGGGAAAAATTTTGATGGATAGGATATTGGCAGGGTACAGAACAGTGTAGGTGAGACGGGATGACACAGAGAATGGTATGCAAAATGTGTAGACAGAGAATGGTATGCAAAGTGTGTAGACAGAATTTCATACATTTACACTGACAGGTCTAGGCTTGCTGAAGAACTTCATGCTTTTTATTGATTATTATGCTTAACACCTTTGTTCACTCATTATTTACTTTCTGTTCATCAAAAATTATTTATTTCGTACTACATTATAGCATGTTCGAGGGATGGATGCAAGCAGAGATGGCCATGATGCTAGCTGATAACACTCGCTAACTTTACGAGTTTACATACCTTTTCTCTAACTAAAAAAAGGTGTTTCTTACCAACTACTGAGCCTGCCAGTTATAGACCAATGGCTCTAAAGTCACTACTAAACTTACTTTATTGTATATACCTCCATAATTCTCCTTCCAAGATACTAAAGTTTATTGATGATCCTTTGTTTCAGGATATGCGTACAAGAGATTTGCAGTGCAGTTCACGGCACATCGTAGATTACATGGCTAGGCAGCCCACCTGTTTTTTGTAATTGTTTGTTGTGTTATTTAAATTAAATTGGTTTATGTATTCTGCTGGAGCAGTCACATGCCATACTAATTTCAGAAGAACAATTTCTAATCTAATGGTTAATGTATTGTTAGTCTAAAATGAAAATCCCAAACAAAAACAGAGTCACAATTTGTATTTATGCGACGAATAATGAAAATTTCAAATGCTAAATTTAAACTAAGAGTTTTGGAATAAAATGTTGTCTCTAAAGCTTGTCTCATGTAAGCCATCAACTAAATGTATTATATTAGCATGAATAATTGTTAAGTGCAACCAGCGGCCAGTTTTATTTGATTTTGAATAAACAAGGTGGGCTATACATTATATGATCTCAGTAGCTTGATTTGAACCCCGTTGCAATGCACGGGCCTTTTTGCTAGTCTAGCAAATAAGTTTTACATGTCTAGTGACTAAATTCAGATGTACAGATAAAATTACCCTGCAGCGGCCATTCCCCTCCCTAAAAGTGGATTAGAATGATAGCTTAGTTTTGCATCAAGAGCTAATGAGAGAATGACAAGGTCAAAGCAATAAGAGAATAACCTAAAGCAAACCATAGTAGCATTCTATTTATCTCATAGTAGTAGAATATTATGAACAAAATCAGTTTGAAATATCCTGTAGTTAAGACCAACCAAATATTCCTGGCTGAGATGTACCACCAGGTAATACAAGCCTAGTTGGTTTGATGCCAATTGTTGGCAAGTCTAGAAAATTGGCTATCAATTGGTTGGCTACCAATTGGTTCTTGCCCATCTCCCAAAAGAAGGTATAATTAGATCCGAACTATGGTCTTGAGTGATGGCAATGTCAGGAAATGAAGCATAATTGCCTATTTAGAGTAACATCACTACTAACAGGAATAAGCAAGATAAAGAGCAGTTTGTTCAACTTACGGAGCCATCCAACGGTATGTTCCTGTTTCAGGTGTCATCCCCTCGGTCTTCACTTCAATCCTAGCAACTCCGAAGTCAGCGATCTTGATCGATTTATCACCAGAAATCAAGAGGTTATCTGACTTAAGATCTCTGTGGATGAACCCAAGGCCATGAACATAAGCCATGCCACGTGCAACATCTAGTGCCTGCTTCACTGCCAGCTTCAGTGGAACAGACCTGTTCTGCCTCCTATTCAGGAAATTCCTAACAGATCCACCCTTTGCATACCCTGTGACAATGCACCAAACTATTGGCTTCCTGCATGCGCCAACGAACTTGACTATATTTGGATGCCTTAATTCTGCAAGCATCATAACTTCTTGCACAAACTGTTGCTCCAGCAGCTGAGCTTGTGCGGGGTCAGCCTCGGGCCTCTCCAAAAGCTTAATGGCAACATCCATCCCATTGTAGGTCCCCCTGTATAGCTTCCCAAATGCGCCTTGTGCAAAGGGCAATCCCATGTGGAGCTTCCCCAAATCAATGGTCCACTCCTCATAATCCTTGAGTGTCTCAGTCGGGAATCTAGTGTCCATCAAAGCCTGTGCCAACGCATCATCACTCAAGGCATGAGACACCCGCCCAGGACGGAAAATGCTGTTCCCAACCGAGTAGCTGACCACAGCAACAGCTCCCCTGTGGCTAGGATGGTTAAGCATCCCAGTACGCGAGTCAGTAGAACCAACACTACTGTTGTCCACAGACATTATGGAACCACCGTGCATGCTGGTCTGCATGCTGTTAAGGCTATCAATGGACATGGTGGAGCCCTCCCCTAGCTTCTGGTAGTATGCCATGTCGCAGAAGTTGACGCCACCGTCCTGGCCGCTTACGGCACCAATTATCCCGGGGAACTTGCCCGCTTCCATCATTCTCAGATAACCAAAGCCTGAGCTCCGGCAACCTTTCCGCTCTTCCCTTTCTCCCTCACACAGTCCACCCAAAGGCGATTGCCTGCAGAGAGAACCCAACGGAGATTAGAAGTGACAATAAGCTAAAGTTTTCGTCTTCATCCTGCAAGCTATACAATTGCCACAACTGCCAGCACGCAAGCATAAAATCGATACGATACAGCAAGAAAAACACAAAATCCACGAGGAGGAACATCCTAATCCCTGAAAGAACACACAAAATAATCCTTGCAGGGTCAGACTTCGCTCCGAATAGACCCTTGCCCAGACCAAATCGAACCCTCAACAGCGACCTAAACCAAAGGAACCCGAAGCACCAAACCGCATCCAGGACCAAATCAAGCTCCGGCACGAAACAAGAGATGGCGAGCCAAACCTTACCCCGGAACTGCCCGCTTTTCGGGTCCGGAAGTACAGCTCGCTGCTTCCAATTCGCACCCCACGCGACCTCGGCGCCGCACGGATTCCAGCGATCCGGGCCTCGATCGGGAGCCCCCGGAGCCGCGGCGTCGGGATGAGGGCCGCAGGGGACAGGGTCAGCTGTTGTGTGTGTGAGAGAGAGAGGAGGGTTAGCCCAAGGGCGCTTTTAGGCCAAAAATAGCGCCTTTGGTTATGCCGGCCATAATTTTGGCGTGATAGCATCTCTAACAGGCGCGCTAAATAAGCGCCCTTTGTAAATTTGTTTTTTAGTGCAAGCAATCGATATAAGAGTTTTAGCGGACGCGCAACAAGCGTGTGCGGCATATAGAGTTAGACGCGCGTGGCATATAGAGTGGGGCGCGCGGTCCGAATCGTCATCGCGTGTTGTGTATTTTGTGCGCCTGCTTCCGCGCGCCGCACCCTCGAATGCTCGCGTCACACTCTCTCCACCGTGCCACCTTCGCCCCGCCCGCGCCGCCGGCAGCGAATTGACCCGATGGACGCCCGCGCCGGCACCCCTCTCACCCCTTCCTACACCCGCGACCCCTCCGCGGCCGCCGCCGCCGCAAACCCTAGCTCGGGGAGCTTTGGCTTCGCCTCCGTCGGAGCTCCTCCAAGCACCGGCATCACGCGCGGCCTTTTCATGCCACCACAGATGACCTCGGCGGCGGGTAGCGTCACGCCGGCGCCCGCCGTGAAGCCACGTGCCCCCTCTCGAAGCTCCCAAATGCGGCACGGCCAAAGAAAGGCAGGGTATCCACGAAGAAGAACAAGACGGCGGACGGCTCAGGCTCCTCGAAGTCGTCGAGGAAGAAGCTTGCAGGGCGTGCGACGGGCGCGGCGGCTACCGAAGCGCCGGCGAGCTCACTTGTTGAGCCGGCGGCCGACACGCACAAGGTGTTCGAGGAAATGGCCCAAAGGTATCAAATTTCGCCAACTTTGTTGTTGTAGTTTACTTTTTGAATGCATACATATAAATAGCTTATTTGCTTCGTTGTATATACTTTGTAGTTTCGAAAGTGCTGGGCGGACGACACGCCATGCACGACAGTGGAACGACGCCGAATCCAGCCGTCGACTGCACTTCATTCACGTGCATGGACGGACTGATATATATGATCGTTCGCAAATCGTTCGCACACCATCGTGTGCATAGCATCGCTCTTGTAGTTTCAACGATGAGGCATATATGTCAACTATGGGTGTTGGCTCCAACAATTCACATTGGTCTCAAACCAATGACATGCATTTCGACCATGAGTTCGAGGTGGACGAGGATGGTGAGGGCATTGTCGACGCACCGAAAGGAAGAGGAGGCACTATACCAATGAAGATGGCGGTTGACAAGTTGACCCCAAGTGGCACTAATGATGAAGACAGGGTAAGTGCCATTTCATCCATGTTCATCATGCTTGTTGTTGGTGTTTGTAGTGCTAACTTGTTTTGTTTTTATGTAGTTCAATATTGCACAAAACTTGTTCAAAGGAGAAGAGAAGAAGAGCAAGAAAGGGAAGATCAAGAAAGGAAGACCATTTACCTTGCCTCATTGTTATGAATCATTGAAGGATGATGAGAATGGAAGAAGCATGATGATATGGATGATTTGAATATGAGCAACGCAAGCGAACAATTGATTTGGATGATGAGGAGGAGGAGGCATCAAGTGATGACGGGAAGAGAAGCCCCACACTAAACTCGGTTTCTGTAAGTGCATCTAGTGCCCCTTGGTGTTTTTGGTGTATTGAAGACTTATAGGTTAAGGGACTAATGTGTTTGTAAGTGTACACAGGCCTATAAATCTATGAGGAGTTTGATATTTACGATGAAAGTCGACCCCTAAAAATGAATGTCTTCAGCTAAAGACTTTGGTTTTCTTGAGGACTTTGAAAGTGAAGAAATTGGTGTGACCGTGAAGACTTGATATTCATGCGAGGAATATGAAGCATGAAGACTTTTGTTTTCGTAGTTTTGTTTTCTCTCTCTTGAGTCATAGGAAACACCGTACTGTTAAAGGGGGTCGAGGTAAAACTAAGGGAAAGTTTCCAAGTGATGCTCATCTCAAAATCCTACACCTACCCAATCCTTTCGAGTGAAGCCATTGAAAATCTCATATAGTTCAATTAAATTCTTCAGTGACAGAGACGAAGATCTTCTGGTCTTTGAGGAATTTGTTCTGACTGGGGAGTTAGGAATTCGCCAGTGCGGATTGCCTACCAGTGAGGAACATGATAACCCTGAGAAATTTGATACTCAAATATCTGACCGTTGTTGTGTTATGCGCCAGCTGTCCCAAAATATCTATCCACCTAACGGCCATATCATTAAAGGGCATTTATGTCTTATCATGTCGGGCTGCTCCCTAGGCTATAAATAGCCGCCCCCTACACCACTAGATGGTTAGCTGCTCTAAGAGAAACTGGCACTTGTCATTGAGAGCATCCCATCCTCCCGGGACTTTGAGCGAAAATCATCAAGTGTGAAAAACCCAAACCCAAACCCAAACACCTACAAACCCAAAGTGATTGAGCATCACTGAAGAGATTGTTCCTGTGTGGAACCGACGCTTGTTACCTTTGATGACTGTGCATCCTCCGGACGGTTAGGCATCATGGTCTAGAGCATCCAAGAGAAAATTGTGGGTCGCTGAGTGACTGAGTTTGTGAAGGTTTGGAAGTCACCTGAAGACTTACCGCAAGTGATTGGGCAAGGTCTGTGTGACCTTAGCTCAAGGAGAATACGGTGAGGACTGTGTGTCCGGGACTGTGTCCTCGGGTTTAAATACCTAGCCGCTCCAACCAGACGTACGACTGTCACAGTAGTTGGAACTGGTCTACCAAATCATCGTCTTCATTAAGCTACTAGTTCTATTTTCTCAACCCTTTCATTTTCTCATTCTTGTGTAGAAGTATTTAATCATTACTGTTTGAAGACTTTGACTGAAGACTTTCTCAATTTCCTCAATCCTAATTCTTTAGTCACTTTGTCTTCAGCCTGCTTATCCTGTGTTTACGCTACTTGTACTCTGTGCTTGTTTTCATTTCATCGTGATAACTATGATACTGCTCTATTACGCTTGCATCTGAGTACTTATTCCGCTGTTAGTCATTCGTGACTTGGGAAATTCCTCACCTTGAATTCCCTCAGTGACGAATTTGTAAAAATCGCCTATTCACCCTCCCTCTAGTCGATATAATGCACTTTTAATTGGTATCAGAACAAGGTACTCCCTTATTCTATGTGATTTTGGTTTAACCATCTGGAGTTTTAGTTATGTCGACTGCAGGCATGATCAAGGTCTCGGCTGGGTGTCCTACCTTCGATGGGATGGATTACCCCTACTAGAAGAATAAGATGCGAATGCATCTTGAGGCAATTGACAGTGATCTCTGGTATGTTGTGGAAAATGGTGTTCCCTCCGTCACTCCTACCATTAACGCTATTGATGTGAAGAGATTCAAGCAAATCGACTCTCAAGCGAAGAATATCATATGTGACCATCTAAGCAAAGGAAGTATGGCAGAGTGAGTGCTTTGGAGACAGCTAAGCTTATCTGGGATAGGCTGTCAAAGGTCAACAAAGGAGTCTCAACTCAACGTGACTCTCGAGTTGATGTTCTTCTCAATCTCTTCAACCACTTCAAAAGACTCGACAATGAAAATGTTCAGCAAACCTTCGATCGCCTCACTGACATTCAAATGAGCTTCAAGCACATGGTGCCACTGACATCATCGACCATGAGGTGGTGAAGAGATTGTTGAGATTGCTTGATTCCTCATTTGACACTCTTGCACTGATGATTCAAGAACGTGGAGACTACAAGTCACTTGATCCTGCTAATATCCTCGAGAGGCTAAATACTCATGAGTTCCAACTTGCTGAGAAGAGAGATCTCTATGGAACGAGCTATGGCAGATCACGCGCACTGAAGGCCAAGGCAGTCTCTGAATCTGAAGGAGAGGATTCTGGTAGCAGTCTTGGTGATCCTGAAGAACTGAGTCAGGAGTTAGCAATGCTCGTGGGGAAATTCCAGAAGTTATGAAAATGTTGTCGCTTTGGTAAATCCTCAAGAGGTGATGACATGAGATCAAATTCCTCATCTCGTGACTATAAGAAAAGAACTTGCCACAAATGTAAGAAACTTGGTCACTACATTACTAATTGTCCTCAATGGGAGAAGGAATCAAAGAAGAAGAACTACAAGGATTACAGTTCTGAGGACTCAAAGAAGAAGAAGAAATCTTCAAAGTCGTCATCGTCAAAATCTTCAAAGTCTACATCTCACAAGAAGAGCAGCTCCAAAAAGGCTCAGGCATTCATTGGCAAGGAAATGGACCCTAAAGCCGAATCTGAGGAAAATGAGGAAGAGGAGGAATCTGAGGAGTTAGACTCTGGTGTGGCAAGCCTGGCCCTCGCTACTGCTTTCATCAGCAAGTCCATCTTCAATTCTGAGGAAAATGACTTCCCAACACTGCTGACGATGACGATGATGACTACGCTCCCATCTATTGCTTCATGGCAAAAGGTGCCAAGGTACTCAAATA